TAGCATTATAGCCAGCATATTAAAGATAAAATGAGGGCATCAGGAAGTTCTTCAATTGCTACCTAACAAATTATACAAACTTAGTGACTAAAGAAATATCCATTTATTATGCCACAGTTCTGTAGGTTAGAAGTCCAATTACAGGTTATTCTCTGCTTGGGGTCTCAACAAGGTAAAATCAAAGTGCCAACTGGGCAGTGACTCATCTAAACTTAAGGCAGCTTGAACAGAAGAACTAGGAGAATCCACCATAATGGTTTCATGGCAAAAGTAGCTCTCCTGAGTGTTCCCTCTTGCTTTTGCTCTCACCTGCCTTTCCTGAAGAGCTTTTCAAAAATAGAATCCTGGACCCAACTCCTTCCACATCTCCAACTCCCATAATAACATCTGTTGTAAGACAGTGTCTCTAGCATCCCAACTTAAGGTTTCCATGTGTCTCTGGAATGATCTAAAGAGAAAACAAAATTGTATGTGCCATAAATGCAAAATTGTCAAAAGTATAAAAAAATCAACTAATAAATTGAGAGTTTTCAGATATGGATTGTTCTGTAGCAGTATACAAATCCCACACTTTTCAACAAGACAAAAAAAAAGAAGAAAGAAAGAAGGAAAAGCTATCAGTGCCATCTGGTGGAAAGACCTATATTAAAATGTCCAAGGTGATCTGGCCACACCCAGACCATTTCAGAGCCTCCTATACTCACAGCTGATACATGGCCAACAGAACACCAGAATACTTTCACCATGTGTTTTTCGGTATTAGATCTGATTGTCTATGTTCTAATTTCTTGCTTCCTGTGCCATGACCAGCTAAATAATTGTCATATCATCTTTAAACATACAAATAACACATTAACCTTTACTTCCAATACCATACACACAAAAACCCATACTCAAACTACTGTTGTTGGTTCCCCTTACATGGCCTTTATCCCAAATGATGTGGAAAATTTGCATTGACATATCACATCTCACACAAACACATGCACACACTTAGGCAACAGTTGCTTATAATATAACTCTTTTTAAAATTAACTTTGTTTGGATTTTATTTCAGTTCTTGAGTTTATTGTAAATTAGCTCACTTTTTCCCTTCAAACCAAAGGAAAAATCCATATCAGTTACCAACTGCTGCACAACAAACTACCCCAAAATATTATCTCACAGTTTCTGCAGGTAAAGAACTCAAGAGAGGCCTAGCTGAGTGGTTCTGGCTCAGGGAATCCATTAGGGTATAATCAATACATTGTGCAAGTCATCTAAAGTCTTCATCGGACTGGAGGATCTACTTCCAAAACAGTTAGCTCACTTACATGACCGTTGGTAAGATGCTTCACTTTTTCCCTGTATGGATCCCTCCATACAGGAAAGTCTCAAGACTTTCCCATAGCAGCTCTTATTCCTAAGAGAGAACAAGGCAAAATCCAAGTCTTTTGTAACTCACCCTAGAAAGTCATACACTACCATTTCCATAATATCCTACTAGTTACAAAAACTTGCCCTATCATTGTGGAAAGCATGAGATGCTCATTGAGGACTATATTGGAGGCTGGCTACTACACCATCCCTTCTTGTCACATCCAATTTCCAGATCTTTGGGTCCCAAATGTGAAATGAATTTAGACACAGGAAAATGAGAACAAGTAGGAAACTGACAATTCTGACTAGTCCAAGGTCACAGGAGCCCACGCCCAAGCAACCTTTACCTTGGTGGGGCACAGGAACCTACCTGAAGGAATAAATTCTCTGAGTCTAACTTCACCTTTACCTTCCTCTGACATCAAGCCTATCAGGGAATTTGGGTTTCAACATGAAAAGAACTATGCCAAAGCATTCTTATTAACTGAGGAAGAGGAAGCTAGGATGCCCTAAAACTGTTCTGTTGAGCTTTTCAGTAGACATAGAACAAAATGGAAGAGGAAGATTGTGTCTTCAGAAGACTTCTGGTGGTTCCAAATTAAGCTTATCTTTCCCCTCCACTGACTTCTTTCTTGCTTGTTATTTTTACTGCACAATTAGCTTTTTAATATATATTATTTGATTGCCTGATAATGATAACTACTTTGATGAGCAATTTAGTACTTTATTATATGTTTGGGGAATGATTATATCTGAGTCTAAATCCCCCCCGCAAGTATGTTGTAAATTTCTTGAAGTGAGGGAATTTATTTAAGCTTATTATTCATCCCACCATCGATGTCAACAGATTGTTCTTCAGGAATATGTCTCCCAACACACTTACATAATCAGATATTCACATGCTATCATACACATGCTCACCACAGGAGCAGTGCTCAATAAAGAATGAAGTTTTATCTAGCTCTTTTACACAAACAGTAGTTTTAGCCAAAATCATACTGACACAACCATTATTTCCTTAAAAGTAGAAACAGGTAAAAAAGTATACCACAAAGAGGTGCTACATATTCCTCAAACTCATGCAATTATTGAAAAGAACCACAAATGCACAGTCACCTTGTTCTATAGATTCACATTCACTCCAAGAAATGTATACTCATAGTCTTGCATTCTACTTATTTTTTTTCCATTCATTTATTTATTTAACATTTTTGAGCACTATGTTCAAGCTCCATGTTTGTGTGGAATGGAACGATGGAATGAAATAGTATTGGCTTCAATGCAAACAGGTAGCCCCAGTTCAACAAAGTAACTACCATATCAAGAGGACATAACTTATACAAGATGAGATGGGAGTACAGAAAGTCTAAACCTTCCTGAGTCATGTAAACCTGTACAGAGGAAAGAGGGTAAGAAAGTCAGGATTGTGTATGGGGAATGCTGACATTGTCAGTTGCAGAGGCCTTACCCAGGAAACTATCAGAGACGGATTTTGCTTATAGTATGAGACTACCTGTACCAGGACAGAAAATTAAATGGATTCTTTGACAATAGGACACAGCTCAGACAGGGACCCTGGGCCCTTTCCTCCCAGAGTCTGCTGGAAGGAATTACTTAAGGTTATCACTCACCCACCCATCAGCATCAACAGATTGTTCTCCAGGAATATTGTTCTCCCTGGGCCAAACAGCAGACAAGGTGAAGAAAGTCTTAAAAAGAGAGCCAACTGCCCTTTCCATATGGAGGCACTGATGGGTTGATAAATGTGCTTTTAGCCCTGCAAAGACACATGAGGGAAAATTACATTTGGGAGCATGGAGAGAAGCTAACCTTCCGTCTTGAGAAGATGGGCTTTGAGCTGGATATCAAGATGACAAGGAAAGGGAATAAGAGAACAGAGACACATGTGGGAAATATTCCCTAGTGAATGGATGGAACAAAAGAAAGAACAAGGCAAAGGAACTAAGAAATTACTAACTTGAAAGGAGTACATCTAGGAGTCTTGTCCCCAAAAGCAGCATAACCAGAAATCATAGGTAGTACTTCAATTGAGAGAATTTGGGTGGGGTGACTGGTGTAGAGAGGTCACAGTTGGGAAGGAGGACAAGAAATGAACTGGACAGGCTAGAAACTTTGATAGTGACTTCTATGGGAAATGGGAATGCAAACAGGAAGGACTTAATCAGGGCTGTGATTGTACAGAAGGGGAGAGAAGGGGAGATTTGGCAACTCCTGGAACCTAGAAGAGAAGTTGCCTGGGTAAATGGTTAAGTGTGTTTTCCACTGAGTCAAAGCAGGTTTTGAGCTTTAAGGAAGGAAAAATCCTTTTCATTCTGCTGGAGCCGAGTGACTAAATATATATGTCAAATGATCAAATATTCGTAGGTGGGGCAGAGGGAGGAAAGTTTATCTCCATGGCTATCGTCTCCATGGCTAGGCACCATGGGCTTGGATCACAGTGTCCCTGACCAAGCTAATCAACCTCTCTAAACCTCAGATCACTCATCTACAAAAAAGATACAAAAATACCTTTCATGGGTGGGTCTTCCAGAAAATATCTGGCACAGGGACTAGTACAAGAGCAAACTCCTAAGGGTTAACTATTTTTACAATAATAGTCTACATTATACAAGTATACATTCATATGAAGTTATTATTTGGATCCAGATCCCCATCTTATACAATAACACTTTGCCTACCCAGGGCAAAGTGACTCAGAGAGCCTGGAAACCTTGAAATATGAAGAAATATAAATAAAAATTAAGAAAAATCCATGGGTGCTTAAACCAAAAGATATTTGGAGATATGTTAGGGTGGTTATGAGAATAGGACACAAAGTCTTGTTTAACTTTAGGAAACTGTACTGTGTTGTTAAGGATTCTAGAGCCATCCGCTATCTTCCTGAACCTCTCCAGTGCTTGTTTTCTCATCTATAAAATGGGGTTATTTGATCAATTCTGGTAACTGTGGCAGCCAAGTTCATATATGTAACTTGCTTAGAATAGCTGGCACATCGTAAATGCTCAGTAAAAGTTAATTCTTACGGCGTTGGCTGTTATTACTATCTTATCCTGGGTATGATTTCTGGGTGCCACATGGGCTCCGTATTTTTTTAATAGTCCCAACAAAGGGAAAATGTTATCAGCTGCCTTTATGGTAGTAATTCCCCTTACTGGAGAGTTCAAGAAATCACCGACAATGACTGGTCAATCATTGGAGAGAAGATTCTTCTCCCAGAGCGGAACTAGATTTTTCATTCCTTAAACCCTTGCATACACACTGCGTAAGAAAATAAGGTGAGGTCAGACCCTTGGGGAATGAAGGGCAGGTGGCCACAGGCGCAGTAACTCCAGTGTACCACCAGGGAGCAGCAGAGCCCGACCCCGGATTGCTTCAACTACATAAGCAATTAATTTGTTCTAGGTTTCCTTTAATCCTGCGGTTGTTGGTTATCAACCAATCAACGGCTGTCCTGCTTGGACTGGGCGGGATCGCGGGGCTTTTCTGGGTTTCTCAGAGCGGGGTTCTCATTCTAGCCCTCCCCGGATGGTCGCCCAGTCCCCAGCCACCAAGAGAAGCGTCACCCGGGCGGCGTCCGCAGACACGTGGCTCCGCAGACGCTAGTGCTTGGCAGGTGGCCGGTTACCCCGCCTGGGGAGGGCGGGCAGACGACAGGGCGGAGCAGGAAGGGCCGGCCTCGCCCCAGGTGACCCGCTGCCCTGTGCCCTCCCTCAGCGATGGGGGTGAAGCCCCCCAACTTCTCCTGGGTGCTCCCCGGTCGACTGGCGGGGTTGGCTCTGCCGCGGCTTCCTTCCCACTACCAATTCCTGTTGGACCTGGGCGTGCGGCACCTGGTGTCCCTGACGGAGCGCGGGCCACCCCACAGCGACAGCTGCCCTGGCCTCACCCTGCACCGACTGCGTATCCAGACTTCTGCCCACCTGCCCCTGACCAGATCGACCGCTTCGTGCAGATTGTGGACGAGGCCAACGCCCGGGGAGAGGTCAGCGGGCTGCGCTAGCGCACAGCAGGAGGGACGGGGCGCAGCTGGAGGAGGGGAGGACCGCGGGGTCTGGACACAGCCAAGCTAGAGACCGAAAGCCCCGCGGGGGCGGGGCCGGGCCTGAGGGGGAGGAGCCAAGAGAGGGTGAGGCGGTGCGAACTGAGTTTGAGGAAAGGCAAGAACCAGCTAAAACTGTGAGTCGAGGAGAAATCGGTGGGCCCACTTGGGAGACGTGAGGGTTGAAGCCAGTTGGAAGCGGATTATCATTTTGTAGAGCAATGCTGTCCAAATGTAATGGATACACATCTGTAATTTTAAATTTTCAAGCAACCACATTATTTAAAAAACAAAAAGTAAATAGAAGCAGGTGAAATAAATTTTAGTACTATTAACCCAGTAGGTCAAAAATATTATCATTTCAACATATAATTAATATAAAATAAATTCTTAATATTTTCCAGTCTTTTTCGTGCTGTAGTTTATACCACATCTCAATTTGAACTGGCCTCATTTTCAAGTATTCAGTAGCCACACATGGCTAGTGGCTTCTGGATTGGACAACAGAGGTAGGAGAGGAATCAGGGGAGGAGGGAGAGACAGGAACCCAGCTCTGGAACCAGTCCTCCGGCTTAGGTGTCATATCTTGCCCTCTAAGGGCCTGAGATGGGCAGGAGAGTGTTGGAGAGGTTATCAGGCTTCACCCCATCACGCTTCCTCTTAACAGGCCGTGGGAGTGCACTGTGCCCTGGGCTTCGGCCGCCACTGGCACCATGCTGGCTTGTTACCTGGTGAAGGAGCATGGCTTGGCTGCAGAGAGACGCGATTGCTGAGATCCGACGTTTGCGACCAGGCCTCCATAGAGACCTACGAGCAAGAGAAAGCAGTCTTCCAGTTCTACCAACGATCGAAATAAGGGGTCTCAGCAGCCTTCTGCCAGGCTCCCACACCCCTACTCTGTCCACACAGTGGGAGAGAAGGGAAGAAAGGGAAGTGGAGGAAACTATTGAGCCCTCCAACTTCTCATTGGCTCCCGTTGGACTTTTCCAACAGACAGGTCCTGAATGACAGAATGGCTGAGGCCCTGTGGAAGTGGGGAGAAGGGGTCCCTGTGCTGCTTCCTTGAATAAATAACTTATAAGAACAGCTCAAACTACATAGCACTCTGCCACATCAATTTATTCAAACTTCATGCTAGCCCTGTGAGACAAGAAAGGCAAAGACCAACCCTGTTCTTTTGGTTTTAGGTGGATAAGGCTCAGAATCCCAAGGTCACCCTTCTGGGAAGTGGGAGGATGGGCCAGGACTGCAACATACATCTTCAGCCTCTTAAAGATGCTGAAATTCTATACATGAGTTCCCTGATATATTTGCTATGGTTTTGGGGAACTAGTCAAATCTCTGGCAGCCCAGCCTTCCAACACCGCCAGGTCTCTGATGCTCCTAGGCCAAGGGGGAATCTGTCAATGCCACCCCTTAGTCTAGGCCCACCTTTCCCACATATGTCATCCTTGACCCTCAGGGCAGAGAATGCCTAGATGTTCTGGTCAGAGATGACAACCATCTCCATCTCCCCAGGCTGGGCACCACCTGCCAGCCTCTGGTGCTACCCAGCTCATCTGGTACTTCTAGCCCCAGCCTCAAACCAAGGAATGCTGTAACTAAGTCAGTCTGGATGATTATGCAGAACAGAAACAGCTTTAGGACTATCTTGACCATGTTTCTCAGATGTTGTCTTCAACGCTCCTTTGTTGGACCACTTCCTGCCATCAGCACCACATCTTCAACTTCTGAGAAGTGGAATGAATGGCATACACTAGCCAAATGGACTCTTGCCTAAACATCAGTCCAATTCATTTCCTGTCTTCTGCTGTAGCAGACTAGAATGAATAAGGTAGAATTCATCATGAAATACATATTGAGTGTCTATAAAAGCCAGGCTCTGTTAGATGTGGAGGGCACTCAGCAGAATGAGATATGATTCCTGTTCTCAGGAGCTCATACATCTTGGAACAGATGGGCATAGACAGAGTCCATTTGCATGCAACAGATACTAGAAGCCGTATCTATCATTCCAGACACACTGAGACTAGGGGAGGGATGAGTTGAATCCCCCATAGAACCCATTCCTTGTACCCTAAGACCCCCTCCTCACTACTCCTTTTCCCGTTATGTTACCGCTAAATCAACTCAACATTATCCAGTTCATTATCAGCCAGAGTCTCAGCAACCTGAGAGAAGTTGTAAAATACACTCCCCTCAATCCCTATGTATTGAATCTGAGGACCAATTCTTTCACTTTATGTTCTTGTTCCCCAACTAGCCTACCCAGGGAAGGATATTGTCCAAAAAAAGAAATCCACAATTCTAGGCATTGTACTGCAACAAAAAATGAGAAATAGCACAGAGAGGTGGCACTAAAGAAACTCTTACCTCCTCTCAAAGGCAGCATCCACTTGCCCCAACAGCATGTGGCCTTCTGTGCCTTGGTGCAAACCAGAGCATCTTCCAAAGGAGTCTGTGTGTGTCTTTGTGCATATTTTCATGTGCAGGGGGTGGGGCCAGAAGGGTGTGAATGGCCAACTTCCTGGACCCTTTTTCTCCAATCTGAAGGTTTCCAGGTTGGGGAGTAGGTGGGAGGCTTGAAGCTGCACCCCAGAGTTCATGTCTGCATAACCGGTCCTGACCTGAGGGGGCTGTACAGCCAATTCTAATCCTTTCTGTTTCTCCATTCCTCTTTGCTCCATCCTCCCCATATCCTCTGCACTGCAGGAGTGGAATCTGCCCTTCCCTTCCTCCCAAGGCTCCTTTGAAGGAGATAGAAAATTTTTCTAACCCCATTAAAGCCCTGTGTGCAGCTTCCTTCCCCATAATTTAAGCAGGTCTCCTCTGCCTCAAGAGTTCCTTAGGAAATAAACATATAATTATGTGCTTAAGGAAATCGCTTTTTAAATAAGTAAGAGTTGACTTCAAATGAAAACTCTGCCCTTATCCTTTCATCTACCTGAAGAGATTAGCTTGAAACTCCATTTGGGCTCCTTCCTGCCCCCAGATTTTTTGCCTTCTTGTCATCCTCTCTTCTGTTTTGTCCACCAACAAAGAATCACAAATTAGTCATGACCTGTTCCCATTCTGTCCTAGACTGAGGTGGTGGGTGCCAGGAACAAGCCTCCTCCATCTAAAAAGCACATTTGTATTGCACGAGACCATGGTTTCCCAACTTGAGACTCCAGACATTTTGGGCTACATGACTTGTTCTGTTTTAGGGGACCAACCTGTGCACTGTAACATCCTACAGTGGTAGTCCATGGCTCCTACCCACTAGATGCCAGTAACATATACCTTCACCCCAGTTGTGAATAACCAAAGATGTGCCTGGCACTGCCAAATGTCTAGATTGAGGGAACAAAGTCTATCGCAGTTAAGAATCCTGTATCAGATCAGCAAGCAGCAGCTGCCATCTTTGGCTTTCATTTCTTCTGGAAGTAGAGGAAGGAACTGACTTAGGCATTTCTCCTGTGGATGCAAACATCTCAGTAAGGGGAGAAAGGGACAATTAAAATACTGTCACATTTCCAGCCAATGTCAGGCATCAGTCATCCCCAGTCCCTCAACCTTTCCCAGACTAAGTTTCCAAGATGGTAATAGAAACTGCTAACTTTCTGTGCTCAAGAGGGTTCTGTTCCCAATGAGTTGCTGGCACAACACACCTGCAACAATTCCTTCCATCCCTGTGTTTTTTAAAGGTCGTTCATGTTTAGCTTCTGGTACATGATCAGGGTTCTGTGCTAAACAAAGATTGTTCTATCTGGAAACCATTGTTCTATATTATTTGGACTCTGCGCTGGTCACTTTTTAGGTTCCTCTCTCCAAAGAAATTGTTCAGATGCAGAAACAACTACAGTTAGAATGGGAGGAAAAACAGCCTCGAGTTTTGAGAAAATTCTTTCCTAGTCTGATTCTCCCATCTCCACTTTCCCTGCACGGTGCCCCACCTGGGTTCCTCATGCTTTCTGGGTTCTAGGGTCTGTGACTTCCTGACAAGTCATGTTCCTAGCATCAGCTTTCTGCTGCAGACCTCTCTTGGGGGCATAGGCCCAACCTGCATGTACCTGCACCTGCCCACATCTTTCTTGGAGCACCCCTGGGTCAGCACCTTTACAGCCATTCATAACATGCAAGAGTTTCCATCCACAAAGGCTCATCACTGACCTTCCCCTGACTGAGGTGGTCTGCTCCTCATGCAAACCCTCCCACCTGCCTCCCTTTCTCCTAGGAATTAGGTCTCCCCACAGTAATGATGAACATGATTTGGGGTAAGGGATTGATCCAAAACATAAACTATTTCCCAGAATGAAACCATGCCCATTTGTCATACTTCAAATTAAACTTTCTGCTATCTATGTCATGCCATTCCTTCTGAGAAGGAAACTAATTTGGTCTCACAGGATTATTTTGTCACAAAAAACAATGGCAATCACCACAAATTCATCTCACACTTTGTCATAACCGTACTCTCTTGCTTATAAGATCGTACTTCCATCATTTATGAAACACTTCCCATATAGCTACTGGTTTACATATATTGCTTTAAATCTCTTTTTTTTCTTACCACAACCCTGCCAACCCGGTGTTTCTCCTTCTTAAAGATGAGGGAACTGATATTTAGAGAGATGGAAGACAAGCCAAAAAACACACTTGTATTGAGGAAGTTTGGAAATAAACCCAAGTCATCTCCTGAATTCAGAGCTTATCGTTCTTTCATTAGATAGCACCTGCCAAGACTTTCCCTGGTTCCAGGACACAGAAGGGTCTGTCTTCATCATCAAGATCTCAGCATTATGAGCTATTTTATCCACATGACCTCCAATAACCAGTTTTCTTCATCCTATTAGGAGGCCAGAGAACATCACACTAAAGTCAATTGCACCTGAATTGTGTGCTGCTTTTTAAAATTCATTCCTGAACGTTGAAGGCTAAAATAATGACACAATCATCAGAGAAGTTCTGTTCACATTCACTCTTGTCTAATTCAGAGCACCCAAATATCCTCTCCCAGCATAACAGTCTTGAGGCAAGTGTGATTGGCATGGAGCCCTCAAAAAAAGTCCTTTATGTCTGATATTTATTGGAAACCCTAACACCCTTTCTGATTTTGTTGTTTTTATTTGACCCATTAATGCATGCTAGGCACTGTGCCAAGTGCTTATAGACATTATCTCATTCACTCCTCAAAAAAATGTTAAAAACCCTATGCACAAAGTACTATTACAATAACCATGCACACTTAGTAAACTCATGCCCAGGGCATTTGAGTAACTTGGCCCAGTCACCTAGTAGAATAAGATTCAGACTTGGAGCTACCAATAAACACCTTCCCTCTTGACAGAAGAAACTTGTTGTAATTAAGAAATAGACATTAGCATCTATGGAGGACTTCCAGCATCCCCAAGGAACACAAGGATTTGGCCTCGAGCATCATGGACACTTAGCACACAGCTTCCCTCTACTTGCTGACCAACTATTCATCAGTGCAGCTCTGACTTAAGTGTGCCAGCTACCAGCACCATCATCATCCCTAACAGACTTTCTGCCTTCAAGCATTCCAACACCATCAAAATTATCCCCTGTTTGATTTTAGAAATGAGTACATAAGCACACTTTCGTTACTTTTTAACATTGTTTCTCTGCTATTATGGATTTGGCACACCTTGAGAAGGCGGTATGCTGTGCCAAGCAAGCAGAAATTTTGAGAGAGAAATGCATGCCTGACTGATGACTTAGTTGCAACCTTTAATAACTGAGTCCTTTGTGCCAATAAATTGCTTAAATTGCTTCAACCACTCTCTCACCCTATTT